TTTTTGCCTCTGTGGCGAGCGTGCTTCGGCGTCCGTCAGAGTCGGGGGAAAAAAAAAAAAGAATGTCCGTTTTACTTTCCGCCGGGCGTAAGTCGCCTCAGGACGTTGCGGCGGGGGAGGGCGGGCGCGAGCCTTGGCCATGTGACCTGCCCCGGCTCTTCCCCTCGTTTCCTTGGCAACGAAACAACCTCCCTTCAAAAGCCAAACCGGGGCGCCAAATCCCGCTCCCCGGAGTGGGCGGGGCTGAGAGCTGAGTGGGAGGAGCCACCCACAAAGCAGATGGCAGAGGCGGGGCCGGGGAGAGAGAGAGAGAGAGAGAGAGAGAGAGGGGCGGAGCCAGCAGAGGGCGTGGCCCGCGCCGAAGGCTCCAAACCTTACAGGTGGGAAGGGCAGGCGGGTGGGCGGGGCCTGAGGGGGCGGGGCGGGGCGTGGCCCCCTATAAAAAGCCCGACTCGCGGAAGCCCCGGCCATATTAGCCAGTGGCGGGAGGAGCGATGGGCCAGTTTGGCGGCGCCGCCTGGGAGGTGGGGCGGAGTTCCTGGTTGGGGAGACAGGTAAGGGGGCGGGGCTTAGGTGGGCCAGGTGTGTGTGTGTGGGGAGGAGCTGAGCCACCTGTGGCCCGGGGTGAAAGTGGCAACTCCTTTAACCGGGCGAGGCTTCATTATTACTAAGGGGAGCCTGGGGCAAAAGCAGCCCCACCTACCGCCCCCCCCCCCCCAAGCTGGACTGGGACCCCCAAACTGGTCCGGGGACTCCTCAAACTGGATTGGGACCCCCAAATTGGGCCAGGGACTCCTCAAACTGGATTGGGACCCCTCAAAGTGGACTGAGACCCCCAAATTGGGGGGGACTCCTCAAAATGGACTGGGACTCCTCAAACTGGACTGGGACTCCTCAAACTGGACTGGGACCCCTCAAACTGGACTGGACCCCCAAATTGGGCTGGGGACTCCTCAAACTGGACTGGGACCCCTCAAAGTGGACAGGGATCCCCAAATTGGATCGGGACCCCCCCAAACTGGGACGGAGGGGGGGCAGAGGGGCAACAAGGGGCGAGGAGAGGGAAGGGGCCAGGTAGCCAGCCGAGCCCACCAGCTGCGCTCAGACCCCCCCCATTTCCCCCCCCTCCGCCCCCCCTCGCGGGTCGCCTCCCGAACTTCTGAGGGGGGCGTGGCGAGGGGGGTGGGTGGGCGGGGCTCCGGGAGTGGGCGGGTCTCTCCGGGGCTCCCCCATCCCCTCCGGTGTGTCTCTCCTGCCCGGCCGCTCGCCTCCTTCGCCGGGCGACACGTCGGCAAGGCTGAGTGAACGGCGTTGGCAGCTTGTCAATCGCTCAACCCGGACGGCGATCAAACAACAACACAACGCACACACACACGCGCGCACACACACACACACACAGCGGTCGGACCCAGCTAATTCCAGCCGGCTGCTCTTTTTTTTTTTTTTTCCCTTTCTTTTTTTTTTT